GTTTAAATAAATTAATGCATTAAATGGATGTAATTGAAATAAATTTAATTATGTTGAACAATTCATAAAATCCGTAGTATTCATTTTTAAAATAATATTTAAGTCAATATTTTGGTTTCTAATATTTTTTTTTAAGTATAATTTACTGTTTCTTTAATCAGAGTAATTTTTCTAAAAGCTGATGTTATATTCATATATAAAATTTAATTTCATAGACAAATCAATTGATTTGATCTTTGTTATAAAATCAAATTTTATTAGCATATTACTACTATTTATTATTATTATTATTATTATTATTATTATGGTTGTTGTTGTTGTTATTTTAATTGTAATTTAATTATATATTTTTTGACTCTCTATATAATATTAGTTGCTAAAATTTGTATAAATTTTTCTTGTAAGGCTCGAATTTGGTGCTGTCCAATCAACATATGTAATTAAAAAAATATATACAATATATTTTTACATAGCACAAGATATGTTGTATTATAACAAAATACGGTGTGCACATTTCTATTTTTGTATGTCTTATTTATTATGTTACTTTTATTTTTTGAAAAAAAAATTATATACTTTAATCACATATTAAATTTTTTAATTTATAATATTTTTAATTTTAATTATGCTAATTGGTTATCCTAATTTTAATTTAAAATTATTTTTTTATATGATAATTATTTTCATTAATACATTATTAATTATATACTCATTATATTTTTCCTAGATTTTTCTGTCTATAGTAAACTGGACATGATAGCCGGGACGGAGGGCAATGGCAAAAAGACTTTTTACAAATACTCTTTACCAACTATCAATATAATATCGATGCAGAACCCAAATAAGATTATTCTTTTGAGACGGAGGTAGTATTATGTGTACTTTTTATTAAAGTTATAATTTTCAATAAATTTATTTATTAAAGTCATCTTTAATATTAAAAGATATATACACAAATAATAATATTTTTATTTTAACTCACTTAAAAATTTTACAAATAAAATAATTTACAATCTAAAAATAATGATTTTAATTACTGTAAGCTTTAAAAATTAATTTTTTAAGTCATATAGAAGAAAATAATTAATAAATATTGTAATAAAAAAAATATATTAATATGTTTGAAATAAATATTTAATTATTAAGTGGAGAAAATAAAAAAAAAAGTAAAAAAAAAACAATGAAAAAAAATTTCTTTAGTTCCAAAAAATTATTTTAAAATGTTAATTTATCAAATATTTAAATTAGTCGTTGGATCGGTCAAACAACTAAAAAATTTTCAAAAAGCTGAAAGTATTTGAAAAACTATTTTCAAATACTCATATGTATTGAAAATATAATTATACACTTTAATTTCAAGTTCATAATTTATAATTTTTTATTTTAATTAAACTATTTAGTCATTTGAATATTTAATTATTTTTTATTAAATTATAATTATTTTATTAATACACTTCTTAATTACTTATTTAATTACTCAATACCTAAAAACGACTTGGATCCGGTGCTGATATATTAATTTCAGCAATGCTGAAATTAACCTCCACCATTAATTATATTTAATATTTAATCGATGAGATTTAATTGAAGGGTAATAATGTAAATTTATAATAAATCATATATTATGCTAAAAGTTTATAATCGCTTTCGATTCACAGAACTAGCAACACTCACACTCACACGCGCAGACTGAAGCTGAAGAATAAGAAGAAGAGATCTTCGACGCCGATGAACTGCAATTGCATTTTGCCTTGTCGAAATTCACTTGAAGATTTCCCTATATTATTTCATCTTCCTTTTCTTAGAGTTTCTATTGCTGTCCTAATTTTTTCCATTGCAAATTACATTTCAATTTTACTAAACTCTGATAACCAACAATTTTGGACTACCGTCGAATTTCTTGTATCAAGCTCAAAGCGTTGGCTAATTTCATGAATTTCGCTATAATAGTTTGAAGGTTTTACTAAAGATATGATACTTTTACCAAATCTATGCGGAAGTCCATATACTCGAGCAACATCATCATCGGTAATATGTCATTCTGTCTCATCTTAAAAAAACAAAACACTTTTTCTGAAATATGTGGCTCACTATTTATTTTCGTTTTCCTAACATATAGAAGACCTTCAAAAGATGACTTCTCAATATAGGATCTAACTACTTCCTTATTTTCAAACTCTAGTAGCTTATTCAATTTTGCTATTTTACTCAGGATGGAATACATATGAACATGTTTAGCAATTTCTCCCTTGTAAATATACAAAATTAAATATAATACAATCAATAGAAATATATCACAATTCAACAATACAATACCATTATGTATGTGGCTTTTCACTACCATTAAGATGAAATTGTAAAGCTGAAAATGAAATAAGATGAAGTACTTAAGTGAGAAGTAAGGAAGTTGGATCTCCGCTAACGATTTTATAACAATTTAACAGATAAATAAAAGAATACAAATTATTGCTATAGAACACATATGCATGCAGCAATATTGACTTTAAGCAATATGCATGATGCAGCAGCAGGAACTATACAAGTTACTGAAAAATCAATATATATCATTTCTTTGGAATTTTTAAGCAAATTCAAAAGAAAGAGAATCAGTGAATTCAACAATGTATGTATGTATTTATGTTGTTGAAAGATCAAAGAGAGACAAGTGAATGATTGATTTATACTGACAAAAAGTAAGAGTAGTGAGTACATTAAAGCCGTTGAAGATAAAGGTGAAGGGATTAAGGGATTACCAGAAAAAGATCCAAGCAGAGATCATCTTCTCATTGCAGCAATTTTTGAAAAAAAAAAACAAAGAAACAGACAACAATTCACTCCAAAAAAAACATCACAAAAAGGAAGTTATATCAACCAACAAAGAAATTAGGGAAAAAGACAAAAATCATCATCATCATCATCACCGGTTATATATATATAATAAATGTCCATCCATCAAGAACAACCATAATAATATATCATTTTTCTCTTCATGTAATTCTTCTTCACTTACATTACATAGATGATGATGGATGAATGCACTAAATAACAAATATACATATACCCCCACCAAACCAATTCCAAATTCCTTAGTTCATTCATCTGCATTTGGAAAAAAAGGATATATTTATTCCTTACCTTTGCTAAATCTGCACACGCATATAAGATATAGCAGAATCTTATTTAGCAGCGATGAAAACGCCAAGTCACAAGAAGCTGAAGCCAAAGCCAACATGGGGAAGTCAATAGAGGAGAAAATGAGTGCATTCAAGGAACGTCTTCGCACAAATTAACCCACGGCAGCGGGTAAAGTGATGGATGGGATTGGATACTTGACTTACGTGATTGTCACTACCTCAATGTCTGTTGCTGTTTGAAAAGGGTATGCATCAGTAGGTCAGATCATCATCTAGTGCAGATTTATATGAAAAAAAAAAGAGTAAGGAATTAATACCTCTATCACAGGCACTGCGTGTCTATTGCTTCACAACAACTATAAATTCCAACCCTAATGTAGAAATAGGCGGTTATACTCGCTACTTCTTCCCTAATGATACATTATACAAACTTAGTTTCCAAATCTTCTTAAGATTGAAACACATTAGAAAACACAAGAAACACATTATACAAATTACACAACCTGAATCTGAGTAAAAAATCTGAATCGAAGCGTTGGCTGAGAGAGTTCGCAGCAAGAAGATTCTGAATCAAAATGTGTAGGGCATAGAGCAAAATTAGATTGAGAGTTTGATGTTGGATTTTGACTCGTCGGTTGAGAGAATCTGAATGAGCGCAAAGAATCGCACTAGATTCAGCGCACAAGGATTGCGAAAAGGGCAAGAATCGATTCAGCAGATTGCGAACGAAGGAAAATAAAGTAATAGAATAAAAAAACTAAAATACCCTTGACTAGATTCAGCATTGCTGAATTATACTATAACATCAGCTCATGATTCTTCCCCGTGATATTATCATAACAAATATAATTTGATATAATTTCTTTAAATTTGAATATATTCGATTTTAGCAATATATTATATCTTATTCTTATCGCTAATGAATGATGATTTAGATATTTCAGGATTAAATAGTATTAGAAGATTTGTTAAATTAATTATCTTCCAAATTTATATTATTGTATGAGCTTGTAGCATATTGGTTCGAATGTATTAAATAAAATAAAATTAGATTGGATGAAATAATATTATTTATCTTAATCTTATATCGTAAACAAATTTTAATTGCATGAATATTTATTTTTAAGATTGGTCTGAATTAGTATGGACCTATTTTGGTCTGATCCCAAAATGAGATAAGCCCAATCCGATTATGAGCTGATTACCGAAAAATCTATTAATGACCCAACACTTAGACCGGGCAAAGGGTCGAGTCGTGTCGAGTTCGTGTTGGGTTGAATACTTTAAATGAGTTAAATCACTCAACTCTAATCCAACTCGTTTATTATTGTATCAGGTTCGTGTTGATCCGTTTATTATCGTTTTGAATTCGTATTGACACGTATAGATAATTAAGTCAAGTTCTTTGATTCAAATTCAATTATTTTTGTAGAATTGTCGTGTGTTATGTTAGTTTTTGTTGGCTCTAATGTATATAGTGAATTAACTTAGATTATTTAAAATTGAATTTAGTTTAAATTGATACGTGGATTAATTATCAAATTAGAATTATTTTACATATATAATAAATATATTAATTATAATCGAGTTGTCTGGTCGGGTTCGAGTTGAGAGTTTCAACGCTAACCTGACATGTTTATTATCGTGTCGGGTTCGTATCAACTCGTATACATAATCGGGTCAAAATTCTTGACTCAAATTCAGTTATTTCGTGTCGGATCAGTTTTTGACAACTCTACCGACACTAAACCAGATCGACTATTTTAACCGGGTCCGGTTTTTTTCTTCTTAGAGTGGACCGGACCGACCCGACTCGACCCACTTGGCACTTCCGTACTGAACAAACTTCTTCTTATCTTTTATCTTTCTGGAAATTGAAACGACCGCGCCGACAATGCTATGGTAATCTCTTCTCTCCGTCGCTTCATGCCGATGCGCTGCAGCGCTGGAAACTTTCTCCGTTTCGTCTGCACAGAGGAAAAGCGCACAGCCTGAGCAAGTTGGATTTCCAGTTTTCATATATCGAATAAGGAAAACCCCTTGGGTATATATCCAGTGGGGGCGGGGCAACGGAGTTTTGGTGAATTCCCCATGGCTGATTATTTCAAGGAAGATTTTCTGCAGTTGGTCAAGCGTGGTGGAACTTTTGTGTCCATTAAGATTTCGAGTCTCCTCCGCGCACTGGTTTTGTTTCTATCCATAATCTTTAACTTTTTTTTTTTTTTTGCAAGACTACATAATTTGTGGAGTTAAGTTTAAATTTGCTTATAGTTGTTTGGGAATAGGTGAATGTAGAAATTTCGTTGTGAATTTTTGGCGATCAGTAAATTTAAGCTTTTTTTCTGCGAATAGGAATGTTCAGCGTAAAAATGAAATGATGTAGAACTCGTATGGAAAAAATTGAAACAGCCAAATCATGTCAATTAACAATTATTCCGTGAAGAACATAGCAGTAGTTTTTTATTATTTTTTTTGTTTCTATTATATTTTGTTTTAATTTTTTGACTGTAAAGAATTGAGCAGCAATGTATGGTACAAAATGGATTTTCTATATACTCCCTCCCTGAAGTCGGATAAAGGTGGTACAGGCTAAGCCAAAATTCCTGGTCCGTTTAAACTTATGCAGCAATGTTTTGTCTGCCAATTGATGCTTAACTTCAATAAACTACACAACAGGTTTCGCGACCATATGGAGCCATTGCAGGGCTTGCAATTGCAGTAATTGTTACATGGAGATTAAAGGCATCTACACGAAAGCAAAGAAAGCAACCTAAGAGGCATCCTCCACCGACTATTAATTCTGGTGTTGGTAGTCCTAAAAGTGAGAATGCTGCAAACTCTATTGTTACAAATCTACCAGAAGATCGGAAAGCCCCAAATGTGGTTGGTTTATGAGTTTTCTCCCTATGAATGTACATGCCTTTATTATAAATTGCATGCGGCATAATTAAAGTATACAAAGTGGTTCAGATTATTGATGAAGTAATTGCTGTTTTATCCTCGTCTTGCATGCAGCTGTCTCCCAGCCAAATAGTTCGGCAAAGGTTGAATGAAGGACGGAGGGTATTACATTAACTTGCTCAATTCCTTTTACCATTTCCAATTGTCATCTAACACATGACAGAAGTGGAAGCCGTGATGATTTTGATAATTTATTAAGATTGACATAATAGAATTGATTTCTTTTTCTGATCTTTGGATCGGTGCAGGTAACATGTCGGTTGCTTGGAGTGATATTAGAAGAAACCAGCCCCAATGAGCTGCAGGTTATATAATCTTCTTTTCTCTTTACTAGTGCAAAAGTGATTGTAAACGAAAATACTGTGTGTTTGGTTGTTGTAGGTTATTGTTTTTGTTGTTTTTTTAAATAAAACAGTGGTTGGATATAATGCATTGTATAGAAAATGAGTACGTTTTTATTGAGGACGATGAAATTACATAGTAAACAATTGGAGAAAAACGCCAAAAGAACGTACCCTTAATTTTTTATGTTTTAATTATTCCCAGGAGAAAGCTACCGTCAGATCATCAGTTCTTGAAGTGCTGCTTGAAATATCAAAATTCAGCGATCTGTATCTCATGGAAAGAGTGCTGGATGACGAGAGTGAAGTAAAGCACCTCTGGTTTCCTCTAGTAGTTTGTTTGTAATTTTTGCTACCACGAAATTAGGCTTTACACAAATTACAAGTTCACTGATGCAATGTGTCTTTTTCTGCCTTCCATCCTGATTTAAAGGTATCATTAACTTTAGTAAAATTAATCAAACCATCTTGTATATGCAGAAAAATGTTCTTGCTGCTTTGGAGGAAATGGGGGTTTTCACGTCGGGTGGTTTGATTAGAGATAAGGTACTGCCTCACCTAAATATAATCAGTGTAGTTAAGCTTGTTTATCCCGCATTCTGCTGTTGTACTTCTAAATTTTTCAGGTCACTTTTTTTTATTGAGAATTTGAAGAATTAGCTGTCAATTTTATCAGTCTTAAGAGTTTCTATAGTCTGTCCAATTGCTCTGTCTAAAGATAAGAAAGTAAATATGCTAGATTTTTTTTTTTTTTTTTTTGTACTATAAGAAGAGCCGTTAGATTAGCAGCTTGATTATATGTTGTCCGAGCTCAGCTCAGCTCGTTTAGGATTTGAGTTAAAATAGTAGCTCGAACTCAGGTTGCTAGACTAAACTTCAAGCTCGAGTTCGGCTCGCAAGCTCAAACTTGAGCTTGAGTTTGAGTTCGACTCGAGTTTTATATATATTATATATTTTTTCATACATATATATATCTGATTTGATGAACTCAATCGAACTACTCAAGAGCTGAGATCGAGCTAGGCTTGTTTACAGAATTAACAAGTCTCGAACTCAAGCTCAACTATCTATCTCTATAAATGAGCCGGGTCAAGCTTGGTTTGCGAGTTACAGATTCGTTTAATAGCTCAAATTTTAAGCACCATAACAAGGATGATTATCACACCATCTTGGAAGTGTCAAACATTTTTTAACTCTGAATATTATCGTTAACTAATCGAGGAACTCCTCAAGGTTCTATTTTGCAGCACGGAGAACGGATGCGCATCTTTCGTGAGACAACTGGAACCTAACTGGCATATTGACTCCGACCCTGCAATCGTTGCGCAACTAGCTGTCGGCATCCGCCTCTTTTTTCATTACTGATATCTTTTACTTACCTCAATGTTATTCTCGGTTTCATTCCGGTGCCTGTGGTTGTGCTGCAGAGATTCGTCGCACGTCAAGTTTATGTTTCTCCCATGAAGCTCGAACAACCTGCCTCCAACGTCTTCATGGCATCATCCTTGGAACAGTTCTTTGGTTCTGTCTGATGATCGACAGACGGATGTTGTTCGATTCCGGGGATTTCATCTATGGCTGTTCCTGTTTTTGGCGGCACTGGCGTGGTTCTTCAAGTGTAGAAAGTTACCTGTCAAGATGAACTTAATTGTACATTGTGATTTTCCGATGTCAAACGGGCGGGTTCGGGACGAGTCTTGCTGGCTCCGGGACCCGCCCCGCTAAAAAATATTAAGACCCAAGGCTCGCTCTGCCCCGCTTCAACTCGGCCTCAGGACCCATCCTACCTCGAACCCTCCGGATTCCGGGCTAACCCGATAAACTTATTTTTATTTTTTTTAAAAAAAAGAATGAAATAATTTAATAATAAAAAAATGCGTCAGAGTACCAAAAATTATAATTTTAAAAATAAGAACAATAAAATTTGATTAAGAATTAAAATTTTATTTTATATTTAATTTTTTTTAAATAAATAAATAATATAATTTATATTGTATAAATATATAAATAAATAATAATAATTATTAAAATATCCAGATTCGAGTCCGGGTCTGAAGTGGAGCAGGTTTATAGTAAAACTGTAATCCGCTCGGAACTCGCTCACGTCTAAAACTCAAAATTTACAACTCGTCCGAAACCAGACTTTTTAGATTCGAACCTGCTCCACCAAGATCGGGCTGGTTCGGGGCTAATCCGATTTGACTTCCCTACTTGTACGATGATTTTTGTAGACGATGAATTGTGGAAGGAAATTCAGGTTTATTTTAGGGTGTGAATGTATACAGTAGAGGAGGGATGTCTTGTCATAATTTTGGTCCGAATGCTGGTGTTCCAGATTCGATCCGATCTTTTATTACTATTTCCAGATCCGGTTAAGTTCAGATCCGATTCCGGGTCTTTTATTCATTGTGTTTGAATATTGGTTCGAATCAATGCATAAAATTTAATCAATATTTGCAAAAAAATAAAAAAAATAAAAAAAATCAACAATTAAATTTAAGTGAGATATTTTTTTAAATTAAAATATAAAAAAATATATAATTAATAATAACAAAATAATTCCAAAGAGAATTTAATATATTTAACATTATATACAATTATAAAATATAAAATAAATAATAGAATATATATAAACATCTGGATCGAGATCGGAACTAAAATACCATCTCCGGAATCATATAAAATAGATTCGGATACGGACTCGATATCCATACGAGGTTTCGAATCCGAGAAATTTAGTAAATTTAATAATACTCATAACATATAACATCATAATAATGTATGTTCATTTAAAACCTCTCAATTTATATATCTCTAGTTAATAAATAAATATTTTTATCTACATTTAAAACTTTTTTTTATATATATAAAATTAGTTTATTTTGATTATAAGTAAAGAAAAATATCTTTTTATTTATTTGTATTATTTAAAAAAATTATCGAAATAAAATATATAAAATATTTAAACACGTATTCTAAATTTATTTTAATCATATACTACCTCCGTCCCATTAAAAGATTATCATTTTCTATTTTTGTCCGTCTCAAAACAAGGTTAGTATTTTTTAATTTAATAATTGTATTACGTACCTAACATAATAAATATTATTCTAGATTATAATATATTACATAAATATCATTACTTTTATATTACACAATATTAATAGGGCTAATTTTGTTTTTCTCTACTACAATTCAATATAATACTAATATTAAAAAAATACCATTTAATACGTGCACAAAGTAAACGCCACAATTTCAATGGAACTGAGGAAGTATATTGATTTTTATTTTAAAACTGCAACAATACTATTTACATAAAAAAAAAGTAAAATAATAATAATAATAGTTTAATTCAATATTATTAACTAAATAAATCACATTACCTTAAATACCGTGTCATTAATGAAAGAAGTCATTTAAGCGGGACGAGAGGAGTATTAATTTTTAGTATAATATAAATTTAAAAAATATGTATTTGATTTGATCTTTTTTTAAAAAAAAATTAAATAAAAATTGATAGAATAGCATAAGTTTGTTCAAATCCTTCAAACAAACACACTCTTAATATGAAAAAATTACAATAAATATCTAATACTTATGGTCAATTATCACTCTTTATCTTTTAATTGTCCTTCTGATTGATATGTCTATTGTACATGATAGTAGTGATAGTTATATTTCTAAGTGCGTTTTTTTAATAAACGTAGAATTAATAGTGAAATCCAATATATGAACCCACGAGAAGAGCAGTTATTTAACTCTACGAGAAAAGTCTAATGATTTCGATGAAATTGAAAACTACAAGCATTTGTGGTTTCAATGCGAAAATTGTTATGGATTAAATTATAAGAGATTTTTTAAATAAAAAATGCATATTTGTGAACAATGTGGACATCATTTGAAAAATAAGTAGTTCAGAGAGAATCGAAGTTTCGATCTAAATTGAACATATTTTTTTTCCACATCGAGTTTGAACATATTTCAAATTACACACATTAGTGTGAATTAATTCCAATGGCTCTGTGTGTCTTTCGACGGAAGGAAATTGTAATTTAGCCGGTTGCCTCCACCCAAACATCACAGTTAGTTTGAATATTTACTTCTTTAATATTTATTAAATTGAGATTTACTAAAATTTTTATAGCATTTAGATTAGTATATCATAATCTACAATATCATAAACTGGAATACTCATAACCGAACTTTATTATGTCTAACCGGAATATTTCGATACAGCGGAAAGGTCGACGCCAATAGAGCTTACATTCAAATTTCTGAAAACATCCATGATAAGTGTTATAACTTTTTATCGAGAGGCTTGAATTGAACATGTGTTGATTTCTCATAAGTATTATAACTTTGTTTTTTTGTTTGTAAATGTTAAGAAGTTTTTTATTAAACCTTGCTTATGAAAAATAAGTAGTGATAATATTGACGACTTCGTCAAATATTATAAAGAGTTTGAGAGCTGTAGTATTGGAATTGCGATACAAAAATTCAATATGTAAACGTGGAAAACATGTTGCCATTCGAGTTTTGGCCCTACGAAAGACACCAAAGGTATGTTGCTTTTTGCAATTGTAGGAATACATAACATAATTTTTTTTGTTGGTTAGAGCCTTTAAATGCACAAGAAAAAAGATTGGTAAAAAATTTTGGTCGGTAGCTTTGATTAGAAAAATGGAGAAATTTCAAAATCCGAATTCAACGTCAATAAAGTGCAACAGCGGTGATGTTTGAAATGGAGAAAATTTCTAGAGCGATAGAGTCGAACACGAAAGTGTGGAAAGAAATGTCAATAGAATTATGTATTGTTGTGTTGTTCTTCCTATTGTTATTGTTGCAATTACGACAATGGCTAAGTGGACACTTATATTGAATCTTTGTGTTGTTATATTATTGTTGCAATTATGACTAAGTAGATGTCCAAATTATATGTATATGTATTTAAGGACGACATGTCATGTACTTGGGAGTTTAATTTTCACATTGTTGAATTACATATCCATATTGCTTAAATATGTGGTGACATTTTGTGTCCATGTTGTTTAGATATGCATTGCGTTCTTGGAATATTTGATTTGAAATAATTTAAGTCCATGTTAAAATCCTAGACAATTGAAATTATAAGCACACTAAGTAGATTTAAAACTGTTTACACATTCACCAAAACAACATAATAAAAATTTTTACTTAGCAATCTAGAAAAATGACCCACACAAATATATGCAAAAGGATAACCTTAGCAATCCAATAAGAATCCATATAAATTTGTAAAAACACGACCATTCCGACAAAAAGATAAACACAAATGAACAAGTCATATTGAGCAATCCAGCGAAACAATATACAATAATTCTACCCCGTTATCATTCATAGAGACCTGTCCATTGTTTTTTTTTTTTATCATTTTCTTAATTACCGCAACACTTTCAATAACTCATTCTTTCTTTCTTGCTCATTGTTTGGCTTTTCAACAAAAATACTATCTGAAAGACCATCAAAGCCATCGCACATTCAAGACGAACCATCCCAATCACTACCACTCTATTCAATACTTTATTTTTTGCTCCCAAAATTAGTGGCACCCCACTACTCAACATTACAGCCACAACTCCAACACCACTGACATTTCTTGTATCATTTATTGGAAAAACATCGTCACAACAAAACCTTTGTTCATTTTCATCAAAACTTGAACAAAGTTTGTCACCTCCAGAAACATCAACACCTTCCGTTAGTCGCTCACCTGGACAAGCCTCGATGCCCTCCACAACTTCACTCCATCAACACTAGAATTCACCATCTTCTAGAATTTCCTCTACTTCAAAAACCTCATCAGTCTCCAGAGCTTCCTTAACCATCTTGTCATCGATATTCTTCTTATTATATCCCTATAGTTACCAAATACTGATATATATTCTCAATTCTCCTACATAGCATCTCTGACATCACATTCGCCGCTTGCTGCTTTTGTGTTTTTCATTAGAGTGACATATCTCATCTGCCTTTACATTACCCTTCCTGCATCATTACCCTCGTCATCCATCTTTGTGTCTTTTTACGGTAGAAGTAAAACACCATTGGACTTACTTGACAATGTCTACATCATTACCATAATCATCAACCTTTGTCTGTCGAAGTCCTAATCTATCTTTCGATCTTTTGAGTCGATTTTGATTTGATAGTGTTGGTAAAATTGTTTTGTTCCATATAATTAAAATACACAAATAAAAGCCAAAATTACATATGGGTAAAACAATCATTTTATAAATATTTTTAACGGTGTCATAGGATGTAAGTTTGTTGTCTCGGGTTGACATTCCTGCCCCTGGTTCTCGGCCATAGTCCGTCCCATGTGTGCGAGCCTCTGTCCTGTACGGCCGACTAATGACCCATGTCTTGGTGCAGGTACGTGTTCCGCATGATTCTCCTATATTGTATGGTATATCCCGGACGTATTGCGCACAGGAGACGACTGGTTTGGGCCTCAGCGGAGGCGTGGCCTAGGCGCCGGGTGTGTTAGCTTCCGGACACATTACACTGTACTCCCTTTCCTGCATTTTGTATCTGGTTTATGATAGATACGAAAATTTAGGTAAAATATAATTAGTAAATAATTAAGAAATATATTAATAAAATTAATTATTGCATAATAAAATAAATTATAAAGTAAGATTAAAATAATTAAATAGTATAATTAATATTAAAAAATTATAAATTATGAAATTTAAAATGTGATTAAAATATGTAATTATATTTTCTAGAAGGAAAAAAACAAATAAAGTAGAATGAAAATAAAAATAATGAAAAAAACGATGGGACTGAGAAAATATTTTTTAACACAATATATTTTTAAGAGATTTACCTAATATAAAAATTTTATACAAATATTTGTTAACGTCTATGTATCTATACAATTTATAGTTAACTTAAATTTATAATAATAGATAATTTTGAATTTATTTAAATATATTTATTTATTAGAAAAAAAATTTATTATTATTATTTATTATTTTTATCTTTTATTATTATTATTTTTTTAAGTTGGAAGAAATGGAAGAAGTGAACCAGACAGGTGTGCGTGCGTACTATGTGAAGAGACAACAGTGTTGCAGTTTGGTAGCAGGAGAGCCGCGCGGGACTTTATCAGGGTTTATCGATGGAGGCAGGATTTTCCGAACAAGTCGCGGCTCTTCTTCGCCCTCCGTCTCTTGTTCACGTCAAGGTACTAGATTGCTACTTTATTAGGTTTTCCTTTCATTTAGAGTGGATACCACTTATTCGAACTTTTCTCAGGAATACTTCGAGGCGCTTCTTGCAGAAAGGCAGTGTTTTGGGCTTAAAGTAAAGCCAGAAGGAGAGCATGGAAAAGGTTTTTTCAGATATATTTGATTTTCTTCTTCTTTTTTTCAATGCACCAATACAAGCTGTTGAATTTTTGAAAAAATAAATAATAGGTAATAATAATTCAGCATTGTTGGACCTAATCTGCCCTGAGTTTATGAGCATGAATGTTACTGTTGAGCATTTTTGAACGAATTTTGCTTTTGTGAGGTTCTTAATATGCAAGTATGGGAACTAATTGCAGGAGTATACAGTGAGGTGGATTTTCAAGAAGATGACCTTGTTTTGAAGGATCAGATGCTTGCTGGTGCACAACATTATTCTAATAAAGTAGTGCAATCTGTGAAATATATTTGCTTAGAGCTGTTATTGAAGTTTGTTTATTCTATTGGTTGAATCTCTTCCCAATTGTTGCAGATTGATTGCATGGTGTGTAGCTATTGCTTCCAATTCATTGGCTCAGTAGAGCTTCAAATTGGGAGGAAACTGTATTTGCAAGACTTGGGTGTTTCTGCAGTTGATGGATGTGGATCATCTGATGAAGCAGGATGTAGTGTTTCTTCTGAAAAAGTTGGTCTCCCGCAAGACGCCATCCAGTCGTTAATGAACGGCGGATTGAAGTTGCCATATTCAGATAATTTCTCCCTTCCGGCAGTTGTTCCATGTGCAGGGGCATGTGAAGAGGCTTATTATTGCAGGTAGATTGCATTTTCGACTACACCGGGATATACCTGGATACCTTTCTTTTTGGTTTTCATTTTGACCTAGATGGTTACTGTAATTCTAGCTAATATGGATTTGGCATGAGATCCACCCACAAAGTTTTCCAATTTTCCTTTATTGGTGATGAATGGACTGTTGTTTAATCAAGGTGCCATAGGAGAGAGTTGCTGTGTTTTCTACTCGGCATTAGAAGTCCCAAAATACTGGCTACGTGGATGGTTTCTCTTGTTTACAATGTTGTTGAAACAAACAATCTTTGCTACTTTTTAATAACTTTTCCTTGTCACTCATTCATTGCCCTTGTCTTGTCACATCATTTGATTATATAAATGTATGTTGTCATGGAACTTGATGGCATGCTGATAGAGTGTGTCAAGAGAATACTGACATAACTTTTTAACTAATATCGAACTTTGATGATAACATGGTTTATTGCTAATTCTTCTTGATCATGGTGAAATGCTTAACTAACCACCTAATAGAGCCGGTGATACGGTACTTTTATTATGTGTATATAATTTTTGTTTCTTCATCATTGGCTATCATAATAAGTTTAAGCATTTGTAGCAAATCTTGTGCGGAAGCAGACTGGGATTCATTCCATTCATTACTTTGTACTGGGCAACAATCATCAGTGTCAAATACAAAAGCACTTATGAAGTTCACAAAGCATGCTAATGGTAAATATATCTATGGTGAACTCATAATTGCCTTCCTGTATCCTTTTTACCTGTTATTGTTCTTTTACTGTGTGGATTTTTATGCTTCAGCTTTCTTCTTTTTCAGAAACAAATGATATCTTCATCCTTGCTGCCAAGGTAATTGCCTCATCATCTGCATATATGCAGGACTTTTGGGTTGGTTATTCTAACAATTTCTCAGGCTCAGGAAATTTAACCTTCTCCTGAACAATTGAAGATACATGAATCATTAAATCTAACTGCTGCTCAATTTTATTTTATTTTTTTAAACAATAGAGGATTTCTTTTCTTTTTCATGATCTAGTGAATGTAAGATAGTCCAGACTATAAATAACTTACCAGCCTTTGTGGTCTGAAATAAACCTGTCTTGAGAAACTTTATTTTATTTTAATTTATTGTATATGTGGAGAACTTTTTATGTTCTTATTGACTGCATTTACAATTATATATTTCAGTTCTGTTTAAATGTGAGAAAAATCAATTTCCTGAACTTGATGTTAGTTTTGCCAAAGCCTTAGGTTTATCTCATGTACTACATATCATTTGCCATTTATATATGACATGCTCTCGATATATCTTCTATTCTTATAATATACCTCGTTCGTATGCATCGTTTTCTTCTGTTGCAGGTAATATCATTTACGATTCTGAGATACAGAAAGTTAAAAGCATCTCATCTTGAACAGAAGGGGAAGCATAAATCTTCTAATTGCTGCAACAGTTATAACTTCCCTTTGCTGTTGGAAGCCTGGAAGCCAGTCTCAATGGGATTCAAAAAAAGGTACTTGTTTAGTCTTTACATCTCAAAGGTACTTTTAGTTTTCTTTAAATCATATCCGTGAACTTAATAATCATTTGGAATGTTAATACCCAAATTAGTAGTGGTAGATCATTAAATGCAAAGTGCACACAGGAAACTTTCTGCAGATTTTATCTCCACTTCACAATTTTACCCTGTTGTGTTTTAGTTGTCAGGCTGCTATATTTGTCTCTAATTTTTTCATATAAATAATGAATTATGTGTGACAGTTTACATAATCACATTGATTGAGGGAATGTTCCACTTCAATTTACATTTTGAAATAACGAGTGTCAGTTCACATAATCTCATTAACGGACCACTTCAATTTACATGTATTGTATCTGAAGAACTGAAAACTATTATGGGTGTGTTGCTGCATTATGGGGTGTTTTGGATTATTTTTGCGGACATAGGTGGTGTATGGCTGTCGTCAGCTCTTGCTGTTATTGCCGTAAGGTATTGGGTTAAGTCCCGGGAATAGTAAAAAAATTAAATTGAAAATAAGTTTTGATATGATCTTTTATGGAAAAAAGGTGTTTTCATGTGATTTTTGAATATACTATACTCTCTCCGTCCACCAAATTTAGCCTATTTGGGTTCGGCACGAGAATTAAGAAAGATCATTATTTTATTGAAAAAGTGAAAAAAATAAAAAGATTTAGTTAGTAATTAAAAATAATGGAGAGAGAGAATGTAATAAAGTTAATGACATTTGTGGTAAATAAGTGTTGAATGAATGAGTAATTATCAAATATAGACTTTTTTTACTTTTCCAAATATAGTAATGGGATAAATTTAATGGACGGACAAAAAAGGAAAGTGAGAATAAATTTGTGGACGGAGGGAGTATGTTCTTTATGTAATGTTCTAAATAATAAATCAATTTGATGTGATTTTAACCATGCATAGTGCGAAAACAGGAACGAAAACACAGAGGAACACACCCTATTTGTTTAGTGGCTACCATGAACATCAAATAGAGTTTTGTTTAGGAACACAAAGGAACACCCGATTCATATTGTTGGTGGCTATCATGAACCAGACATTTTATTCTGTGATGTAACAATTAATTTTTTGTTCCTTAACATCTGTTTGTTTAGTTTTTTGGCTACACAGACTTATTCATATTTTACTCATGAATAGGTTCTTCTTGTTTGCCTCCTGTTGAAATCAATCAGATTCAGATATATCACTCTTATCTATTGCAAATAATAAAACCATATTTTCTGTTCTTTCTAGTAAAGTACACATTTTTTCTGAATATCTTTTTGCATTTCTTATGTGTATGGTCTATCTGAATATTATTTTCCTTGACATGTTTATCAATAGATGGTGGGACTGTATCGCTCTGCCAGAAGATGTTGAGTCTTGTGATGAAGTTGATTTCAGAATGCAAATCAAGGACTTGGCATTTGAGGTAACTATCCCCAGTTCAACAGTAGAAGCAATATATCTAATTGGATAATCTATTGAAGGAATGGTTATATTTTGGGTTATTGTTTGCCAACTGCTCATCTCCTGCATAGGTTCAGTAGTTGTCCCAGATCATACATCAACGTAATACCTTAAAATAATTGATTGGAAGTATAGTTGTAGTTGGTAGTTTATCTTCATAAACACTATTGCAGCTATAAAACACAATAACTACCAAGGAAGAATGTTGTGTTTTATTCATCTTCTGAAAAATTGGATGAATGCAGAAACTGTTTGAAGCAAAAAAGAAAAACATATGCATAACTTTGGATATGATGTGGTTCAGAAATTTGGATACAGCTTTATGAGGGAATTGGAAAGTGAGATGAAAAGTTGAGAACTCTACCCAAATGAAGAATAAAAAAAATAATAGGACACTGCACACCAGCACTATCTCTGATGTGGAACTGTGGATGTTTTGTTTTGACTCATTTTTATATCTGCTGCTGATAGTTTTCTTTTGCTTTTGTTTGTTTGTTTGTTTGTTTTTTACTTTTTTTTTTTTTTTCACTCCTTTTTCTTTTGTTGAGAACCTTAGGATGTGTCTTTTTTGTGTTTTGTAAGTTCTGATTTTTGTTGCTTTTTAAGTGAAATAATGGTTTCATGTGATATTTTGTATGAAAAATGAATATGTTTTTATTGGGAATGATGAGAGTTTATAGTAAAAAAAAATTGAAAAAACTTAAAAAAGAACAAAACCTAATGATTCATACTCATTGACTATGTCGAGAACTTAAACTTTGTATTGAGATGCTTTGAAAAGCAATTCCATGTGACGTATGAGTTAAAGTACTTTGCTCTTCTAACCTTCTCATGACCACTTGATATATCTTGACGAAATGTTTCTGTCACTTAGTCATTGCAGCTCCTAAAAGAAGCCATTTACGATGAGGAATGTGCACCATGTATCCTACATATTTCTGAAGCAGCTGAAAATAACTCAAAAGCCTTTTTTTTTATTTTCTTTCTGCCTGAAGCTTGTAGTCCTTGACATCACCTAGTGTTTTCTCTCGACATCTATGGTCATATCATCGGGATGTTTGAACTGAATAACCTGTAAGTTTCTCATGATTATCGATCAAGTTTCCTGTGTATTATTTAATATGAGTCGACACTTCTAATACTCATCTTCAACATCATAGCGATTTGGTTGTGGCATCTCCCATTGAGGATTACTTTTTGTACATTGATGATCTTCCATGCTCCCAAAAGGTTAGTGTCGCATTAGACTCTTTTGATAATGACTATACGGAAAGGCATTATAAGTTCCACTGAATTTTAAATTTGTTGCAGAAAGAAGCTGAAAAGATAACAAAACCATTCCTTGATGCTCTCGGGGAGGACTATTCCATTCCTTGCCAAGGTTGGAAACTTATGATAACTCATCTATCTACTTCGCTGTGTGTTTAATTTGGTAAAACTCTCATCTTCGTATTCACCAATCTACACCAGGGACGGCATTTTTCCCTGTACAAAGTTGCATGAACCATTCCTGTAATCCAAATGCAAAAGCTTTCAAGCGAGAAGAGGTACGCATCTACAAGGACTTCCATTAAAGTACTTTGCTTAGTAAAGATATACCAAACCATTTCTTGGTTGAATATTTTCAGGATAATTTCATTTCTTAATTCACGCCGTTTATAAGTTTGACGAAATATTTATTCTGATGATTACTAAGAATTAGTTTGGTTTTATCAGGATCGGGATGGCCAAGCTTCTATAATTGCTCTGCGACGCATTCTAAAAGGAGAAGAGGTATTCATCCTTTTTTCAAATACTATCAAGATGCATTTAGAGATGAATGCTCGATTTTCAAACCAGTTTTGTCCCAAAACTATGTTTTCTCAGATAACTATATCATACATAGATGAGGATCGTCCTTACGCTGAGAGGCAGGAACTGCTCGCTGATTATGGGTTCAGGTGCGGATGCCCTCGATGCATCGAAGAACAACCATAACAACTCACATATGTTTATGGATGTGTACTAAGGAGTCATTTAGCTCGAACACACTATGAACTTCTTGCAAGAGCTGTTTTTTTATTTTTTTATTTTTTTATTTTTTTTTGTATAATGTGACATATATATATATATATATACACAGACATATATGTGAGATTGAACTTTATGTTGAATATTTGAGAGTGATGGGATGACATCTGAGTTTTTTGCCTTTGGAATTTATAATGTTATTTTATTTTTATGTTTATTCTTAACTACTATAAGTGTTTAAATAACTTCAAGTTAAATTTTATTTTGTATCTTTACCTACAATTTGTTATATATTACATTACCATTTAACAAATTTAGCTGTGTAATGTGGAATGGAAGCTAAGGTTTTGAAGTATTCATGCCACACATGTATCAAAAAGAAAGATCATGTGACTGATGAGCAAGAAAGAAAAGAAATTGAGAAAAAATGGAGGATAATTTTGATACTATTATTGAAGTAAAAAAAAGTCATACTACAATTAAGGACGTTGTATATATAAACTACTTAATCTCATGATATATTTTATAATTTACAAAGATTCATCCAATCTATTCTAGATGCTTTTGTAACTATTTTGATTCTCTCAACCAAACTCTGCATTTTGGTTCTCATTTCCTTTTAGGGGCAATCGGGGCGGGTACGATTGGTATTTTTTCGTGGTCCACACTTGTTGCATAATCAAATACGGTTTTCATATATTATTGTATGCATCTATCTCCACTTGCTTCCATAGGCTTGGGCTCTCCTTTTTTGTACAATGTATTTTGACACGGCACATTTTTTTTTTATAATAAGTACTGAAATTGATTATGCTCAAGACCTTTTGTTAAGATATTTGCAGTTTGTTGTTCTAAAGACACATATGCCACCTTAAGTTGCTTGCTTTGGACTTTTTCTCGAACAAAATGCAAATCTATATCGAAGTGTTTAATCCTCTCGTGATGTGTTGGATTCTTACTTATTTGCAAGACACTCTTGTTATCATGGAACATCATAGGCTTCCCAACCAAACTAACTCTCAACTTTCCAATCAGAATTTGCAAACAAATTATCTCACACAATTTGCCATGGCTCTATATTCAGCCTCGGTTAAGCTTCTAAAAATGACCCTTGTTTCTTAGATTTCCACCTAATTAGAGAGTGTTCTAGCAGCACACAATATCGAGTGATTGGCCGCTGACTGTGTATACAACACCCCCAATCACTATTTGTGAAAGTACTCAATGTTATTTTTGATTTTCTTGATTGAATGAGTCATTTTCCTAAACCATTATTCAAATAATTAAGTATTCTCAATGCCATCGTTAGGTGTACATCTATAGGCCTCTGAATGTATTGAGATGCCCTTTTTATTGCTAAGAAAATATTTGGTCGGGCAAGAGTTAAGTATGGGTGTGTTTGTTTGGGGGTTTGGATTTTGAGTTGGAATTTGAAGAGTAAAAATTTTGAATTATAATAGTTGTATGATGTGATATAAATAGGTGTTGATGCGATGTTTTGAATGTAAAATAAATTTTTAGTATAATACTCTCTCCATCCCATTAAAAGAGTGGCGTTTACTTTTTACACGTAGATTTTTTAATATTAGTATTATATTGGATTGAAGTAAAAAGACAAAAATACCCCTATTAGTATTGTCTAATATAAAAGTAATGACATTTTTGTAATATATTGTAACTTGGAAGAGTATTTATTATGTTAGGTATGTAGTACAATTACTAAATTAGGAAATGGTAAACTTATTTTGGGACGGACGAAAATGGAATATGATCATCTTTCAAAGGGACGGAGGGAGTATAAAAAAAAAAAATAGATGTTTGATTTGATATTTTTTTTAAAGAAAAATTTGATGAATAGTAGAATTTCTAGGAAATTCAATAAACGAACACACCCTAAATCAACTTCCCAACTATTTGGCTATAGTAGCTGTGGTTCTCCAAGAGTATCCCATCTTCAAGTGTTAATTTGCTCCCCGGTTCAATTGGAGTCTTGGAGGGTTTGGCTCCCAGCTGTCCATAATCATGAATTCAATGTGTATTTTCTTTGACACAACAATATTCCATCATTGTTGTAGGCTATATTAAACCCAAGAAAATATCATGGATCTCCCAATTCCCTTATTTTGAAGTCTTGCTTAATGTTTTGGATGATGCTTTTCGCTTTTGCTTGATTGTGACCTATAACAATATCATCTACATATACTAACAACATTACCATTGAGCCAGTAGCCTTTTTCATGATGAATAGATAAGGATCCGCTTGAGATTGGATGAATTCCATCTTTGTCAGTGTAGAGGTGAACTTCGAGTTCTATTGTTTCGATGCCTTCTTGAGTCCATATAAAGCCTTGGTCAACTTATAAACAACCTTATTGGATACACTGTGTTCTGTCAACTCCTCATAGCCATCAGGGAAATGCATATACACATTTTCATCAAGCTCACTATGCACATATAATTGCTGCATCCACCATCCCTGCATAGTAGCAAGAGTGAAAAAAATTCTAACAGTTGTATGCTTGACAACTAGATTGATGGTTTCATGATAATCAAAACCTTCCTTCTTATTGTACTATTTTGCCACTAAGTGGGCTTTATACGCTTCTAAACTCCAATATGTATGCAGTTTTACCTTGTATACCCACTTACATTCAATTATTCTCTATATTTAATTCCCCACAAGAGCCAGTGACTCCAACTTTATAGCCTCGGTCCAATGGAGATTTATAGGTTATAAATTCTTTTAGGCTATCAAAGGTGGATATATAGGCTTGATATGAGCCGGTGAGGGATTGATTGGAAACATGATTGGATAAAGGGTGTTTGGTTAATGGTGCAAGAGCTGAAGCATTATTAATATTGTAATAGTCTATGAATTTCTTAGGAGGTTGAGATATTCTAGTGGACCGTCTAAGAGGTATGGAGGATGACTCATACAATGATGCTTCATGGGATGGACTATGCATGATAGATGAGATAGATGAAAACTCATCCATAGAGCTTTCAGAAGGATGAGCATTGCATTCTCCAGCATGGCCTGGATCAATTATTATTTGGTGATGTTGTTGAGGAGATTGAATGGCAAAGAGGAAGTTAGATCAATTTGTGTTTGATAGAGCTGCTGGAGTGAACTGGATATGGATGATTTTCCATCCACGTCTAGTGGGGAGCGTGGGCTAAGGAAATCTGATTGTTCGATTAATAAGTTTATAAGGCATTAAATAGGTAGGGAAAATGTTTTTCATGGAAGATTACAACCTTGGATATAAATTTGGTGTGGGTGTCAAGATAAAAAAGCTTATACCCTTTTATCCCAATTGGATACCTACTGAAAACACATCTTTGAGCTCTACTATCAAATTTCTTTCAATTCTTTGCAAGGATAGGACATACGCTATACATTGAAACACTCTCAAAGAGCTGTAATTAAGTTTCTTGCAGTGTAGGGCTTCAAAAGAAGTTTTAAAATTCAAAATTTTGTGGGTAGGAGGTTGATGAAAATTGTGATAGTGAGAATAACTTTCCCCCAAAAGAACACAGGCAAACCTGCCGGGATAGCAAGGGATGGGCAATGAACAAAAGATGTCCATGCTTTCTTTCCACAATTGAGTTTTGTACTTCGGTTGTGGTGTCTCAACACGACATTTGATTTGGTTTTCCATGTTGACTAAAGAAATAAATCATTATAACTTCATGGCCATTGTTAGATTGTATTATTTGTATATGCTTTTGAAATTGATTTTGGACAAGCAGAGAAAGACTTGATCAATGAAGGGATCTCATATTTATTTTTCATTAAAAAAGTCCAGGTGGATTGTAGGAACACGCCGGTGAGGGCTGTTCATTCCCACGGATCGTTGTTGGATGCCAACGCGTACATACATGGTATAAAACGATCCTAAGCATGCTCCTATAAGAATGAACTAGAGATGTACCCTTTTTGGAACCACCAACAGCAATCACGAACAGGTTGATTCCGCTAGAGACCTTCCAGACTGTTCCCGAACCCCGCTCGAACACCGGATGGGCGGCGATCTATCAAACGGAGGGAGACGAATTTTGCTCTTCGTGAAACCCTAGAGCTGACGGCTTGCACCTGTGGTTTTCGCCTCCTTTTGAAAAACCGTCCCTAGGGTTTGACAAAGACCGCATATTAATAAGTCTCCCAACAGGTAATTGGGCCAGACCGGGGATCTTTAGAAGGTGTTGGGCTCGGGCTCCCTTATAGATCCAAATCTCTATATTCAGCCCTGAATATAATTCGAATCATAAAATATTAATTCATTCCATTAAATAATTAATATTGCACTCCCAGCCCAACCCAAATTGAATATGGGCTTCTATTAAACTTAATTAATTCCCCATGTTTAAGATGTTCCACATCCATTAATTAATTAAATCTTCTGACAATTTAATTAATTAATATCTTTTAATTCCTTAAGTAATACCACTCAAAACTTATTATTGTACGGATTAAATCCACCTGCAGGGTTTATACAATAATCCTTATTGAGTTCCTTAAGGGGATGTCATCAACCTGGATGTCCAGGACATGGTGCCTTAATGATAATAAATTAATTACTATGCGAATAATGTAGTTGCCCAAAATACGAAGCATATTGAATCACTAAGGATTCTCACTTATGGTAAATTAAAGCAACGAACATTTATTCCATATATTTAATTTATTTCATCTAAGGTTAAGAATTAACAGAGTTACCGAGATCTTGGTTCTTCAATGTCAGAATAGAAGAACATATCTCAACTGTGATCCTTTCAATGTGACGCAGCACATTAGTGTAAACTAATAGTCAAGACAAACTAATTCCAAGTTTACACTACAACTTAAACCGATGGTTTTGTCCATAACCATCTCAGTTGTGAAACCCATTTATATTTAATAAAGAACTGACAACAAGATCTTCTGTGTGATCTCCACACACCATGTTGTCTACAATATTAAATAAGTGGACATGCTAATATATATAAAACATAAATAAAAGCAACACAATGTGAAATAACAATTTATTTATTCCAGTTAATAAGGAAATTGAATGATACAAAAGCGTACTAAAAGTTTGCTTTACAGTATAATCCAACAATCTCCCACTTATACTAAAGCTAAAATTTTAGTATACAATGCAAAAACAAGCTCTCCCACTTATACTAAAGTCTAGCTGCAATGTAT